AAATTTTGCGCTTTTTTATTGTGTTTTTTTTATTTGTTTCAATAAATTTTGCATCTTTTTTCTTTCTTTTCTTCTTTTATCATCTCTTTTGTTTTATTACACTTTATCTTCTTTCTTTTTATATTCTCTCCTTTCTACTTTTATTCTTTCTTCATCATATTCTACTTCTTACTTTCTTTTTATTCTTTTATATCATTCATTCTCTTCTTTTTCAATTATTTGCTTTTTTTCGTTGCCAATATAATTCAATAAAATATTCTTCTAAGTGTCGCATAAATATAACTTCAATACAAGAATATAAATAAATGCCTTTTATATTTATTTTGTTATAATATACTTTTATGTGTCTTTGTGATTTTATTATTCAATAATTATTTCATCTTTTTAATCTTTTAATTTCTTCTTTTCATTTTAGTTTATTATCATTATATTTTAACATCATTACAATTAAAAAGATTCAATATGCGAGACACAACAGATATTATGAAAACAAATAACAAAAGAAAGAGAAATTCATACCAGCCAAGAAATATAAATGATAGAAAAATGAATGAATAAGTATTATCTGTATTGACAGAAATACTTCATTTATATCATTAATAACTACAATAATCATAACCATAACTATCATCAAATCAATTACATCAATAGTTATATGATTCATTTCACTCATTAATTCAATCATAGTCATTATCATAAATATTTTAACAACAATTTCAATCGAAACAGATATTATCAAAATATAAATAAATATCATAATAACACTCAAAGAATGTACAAACAATATCGAAATAAGAAACAAAACAGAAATAAAAGAAAAGAAACGATTGAAATACAAAATCAAGAATAATGGAAAAGACTCTTTGAATAAGAAATTAAAATATTTACACCACAAGAAGTAGAAGAAATTAAAAATACCAAGATTAAAGAATATACATCACCAACAATATTGAAGAGATGGTATTTTCTTGAATGAGAAAAAGAAGTTGAAAAGAAGAAGATGATAAACAAAAGAGTCTAATTGAATAGATGATAAAATAATAAATGATTAAAGAAGATAAATAAGAGAAAGATATTTGAAGAATAAGAGAATAGATATGAAGAAGAGGAAAATGCAAATAAAATAATAAAATAATAAAGAAATAGAGAAAAATAAAGAAGAGAATAGAAAAAGAACAGAATTATTAATAAATTAACGAAAAGTTTGTGATATTAAAGAAGAAACATGAGAATGAGATAAAACAATTGTTTGATAGAAGTATTTAAATAACATGGTGATTCATAAAGGAAAATGTCAGAAGTAAACAATCCATCACAATAATTATACTTCAGGAAATATAAAATATCTAAATTAGAAAATGAAAACACACCAGAATAAAGATGAAGTAAATTTGAGTATAACATACTCATCTGAAACGCAAATATGAATAACATTTCAATTAATGTTGTAATAGTTAGTGTAATAACAACAAGTGAAGATGAATTTCAAAAAGAAAGTTAACGAAGAAATCCAATAAAGAGATGAAAGTCAACATAAGAAAATAACCACATTTTTATTAGAATATCAAAACACAATTGAATAAAAAGAAGAAAATTTAACAAATTATAAATGATTTTCATTACGATTATTTGAAAGAAAAATAAAGTAACAAGTAAAAAATCAATAGAAAGATTAATACAAGAAAATGAAAATAAATGACAATAAGAATATATTCAAAATAAAAAGAGAAATAAATAGAAGAAAAGAATAAAACAATAACAACAAGTAATGAATTATAAGAATAAAATGAATAAGAATGATAAATAAGAAATGAAAGAATATGAAGATGTATATTTCATTAATTATTATGACATTGTAATAAATTACATTATTTCATTAATATCATCTTTCTATTTTTATTATTCATTATATTGTTGTTTATTCTATTTATATTCATATTGTAGTTTCAACTATTATCATCATTAATATTAATAAACATGAAAGAAGTCAAAGAAATATAGAAAGAATAATATATTCAAAATATGTAGATTAAGTAAATTGTTCATTATTAATCAATATTTGAAATTAAAATAACTATTACATTTTATGAATGATGATATATCATAATAAAAACAAATGAATAAATTACTACAAATACACACAAAAATGAAAAGAATAAAATGAAATATAAAATGATAAAATATGCAAAGAGATAACATATAAATAAATCTTAAGAAGATGAATATCAAATAATATATCTTTTATTAATTTCTTTATTTGAATATATCAATTTATTATTACATTATTTTACTTAAACATTAATTTATATATTGTATTAATTGAATATATAATTGATAATAAAATATGAATAATAATTCTTATTCAATTATATTATCCTATTAATTCATTATTATTTATAAAATACATACAATTGGTTAAATATGTTGTTTTGTTTAAATATTTAGAATATCAAATAATTTATTCGTTGAATTTATTTAATGTTTGCTATGTAATTTTAATGAATTTAATATCCATTTCATCAATATCATTATTGTATGAAATGAAATAAATTAGAAAATTAAAATTACAGAATATTACATTGTTTAAATTGTCTGTTAAAATATATACATCAATATTAAAGATGAAAATAGAAAATCAGTTGATGTTAAATCAAATTGAAAAACAACTATCATTAAATCAAATTGGATGTAAAAAATACACATATGCATCAAAAGAAGGATTATTATATAACACTATAATCCAACAATTATTAATAAATGTTAAATGGAAGTGGGTAGAAACATATTAAGACGTCTCCAAAGCATATGATAGTATTAATCATCATTGGATTAAACAATACTTAATTTATTTTAATATCCCACTAGCAGTAATTAATAGTATATTATATATATTAAATAATACATGTCTTAATTTGTATTACAATCAAGAAAGTGTGGGTATAATTAATGTAGAAAGATGAATAATACAAATGATAGTTTATCTCCACTTTTATTTGTATTATCTATTGATATATTATCTAAACAATTAGATAAAC